GTCTCTACCAGAGACGTATACGGCGTCTCTACGTCACTCCTCCTCAGATGGCGACGGATAAATTGTTGGACTCAAGGCTTTAAAACATCAGTCCACAAACTAACGAGTGATGTCACGATGACTACGTCCACTTCTTATACACAGTCTGTGGTTCAGATTCACTTTGTATCCTTGAGCTCTAAGAAAGGTGTTGAATCCATCCTATTCCTCATATACCTGCATCGTTTACATCTCTGTTTACCAGCTTGCAGTAAGAAAAATCAATAAAATCAGTTTTATGTGTTGGTTTGTAACTACTAAAGAAAACACAGTAACTCTGGCTTACATCAACAACATACTGTACAAGCTTTTCAGCAGCAGAACAGCGATGTTTACATGCATGGCAGTCTGGCAGACTTACAGGTACCCATTCTGTTCTGAGGTCTGGAGGGTTGGGAGTCGGGGGAGGTGAGACTCTGCCGGCGGCCGACCTCGTCGGAGGGCGAGGTCGGCAGAGATGACACCGGAGGAGTCTGAGCTCGCCGGGTTGGAACCAGGGTGGTGGTCGGGTAGCTCGAGAACATTTGCCTGTCGGATCACAGAGAAGCATTAAAATAATCATCCTAGTTTGAATCTTTCATGAGAAACAAAAGGCTGGCTTGGCTGTGGCCATCTGCTCTGACCTGAGGAGGCTAAGAGGCATGACCCCCGGAGACTCCGAGGCGGGGACGGTCTCCGTGTCTGTGACGGGCGTGGTGGCAGTCGTGGTGTCCTCCAGCGAGGAGCTCATGAAGGAGGTGGTGCTGGAGGCCGAGGGGCTGGTGGTGATCGGGGTTTGAGCCAACTGCTCGCCCTCTGTGCCTTCCCCCTCACCTTCTGGTTCACTCCTAACTCCTGAGGGAGACGAACAGCCCCGGGGGAAAAGTGAACTTTGTGTGTCGGATGCCTCACGCAGACATGTAGATATATTATATTATAATTCATCGCCATGCATGCTGCTCAGATTAATAATAGTGAACAGCTCTTCTGCTGCAGGCACGGCGTCGCTCCGTAGCACAGTCCTGCTTTTTATGGCACCAACGTACGGAGGTTCCATTCAGTTACATTGCGGGGCGTTCAAGCTCCAGTAAAAAATGGGTTTTGGGCAAAGTTAAATTACAACCTAGAGTCTATGATTACAACGCTTAAATGTAATCTTGTAAAATGTAGTTTTTGGCAGAAAACTTTAATGAATCCAGTTGTTTGAAGGAGATGTTTTCACAACATGAAATAGATATGAGAGAAGAGAGTATGACCGGTTTGACTTCATAACACTATGAAGTGTGTTTTTATATAATAACCACTATCGATGACAGAAACAAAGTACATTTATTTTCTAATTGCTCAACTCTTTGTTGATTGTATTTATTCATTAATAGGCCGTTGTTTTCTATGCTGGAGAAGTCAGTTTGTCTATCTGGCCCAAAGCTTAGCGTGGAGCCCTGAGAAACACAAAGCTTTGTCAGTAAGAGCTCTCCGGGCTTCACGTGGCTACATATTCTCACCAGGCTTGGCCTTTCCCCCGCTGGGCTCCTCCAGCAGCCCGTTCACCACCAGCTTGTAGATCATGGCCTGCGCCCTCTCCAGGTCGGCCAGGCCCAAGGCCCGCTTGATGGGGGAGCGCATCACCGCCCGCTTCACCATGTGGCGCATGAGGAACTGCAGAGCCGCCCGCATCTCCACTTCTTCCTGGCACACCGGCGAGGTGGCAGCTGTGCTTCCTCCGGTGCCGGTGTTCAGATCCGCATTGTGGCCGCTGGGCGCTGCTTCTGGTATCACCTTAATGTCAGAGGAGAGGACAGATGAGCACGATGCCCTGGATCTGCTTCACACCAGCAGATACACATGTATCCATATTTAATGATTCTAGTTATAGAAAAGAAAAACATACATATAAAAACAGGGAAGGGAGGTGAAAAACATAAATGCACTTATTCACAGAGTTATATCTTTACTATTCTCAGATCCTTCCGTTAGAAATAAAACTCCTCAAATGTTTTTTTTTTTTTTACATATTTTCTGCACTTCTATAGTCTTAGTTATGTTAAAGAACAACACAAGAGAAATGTATTAAGATATTAGACATGTACTTAACATATTCGCATGGATACAAATGTGTTTTGATTAGAATGTAATCTATGAACTGCTATAGATTTAAACATTTTAATATTATTGTTGAACTATGAAGCCATTTGTTTCCTCAAAAAAGTTAGAGGGATATATTGGATGTTGTCTGAGGTACTTATGCATCGTTAGTGCATAAAAAACTAAACTCTTGTCTTCTCCAAACTCCGTCTACTGTAGTAAAACACTGACGATGGAGAAGAAGCTCACACTACTAAACCCTGTACATTTCCTCACACCGCTGAGGAGCATGTGTGTGATTCATCTGACTGTTGTACTCCGTGAGCTCTGATATCTATATTTATATATATATCGGATATCTCTTATACCTTTGGTATGAGCAGCAGCTCGGCGTACTTGCTGCAGCTCAGCAGGGTGCTGAGGGTCTTCATGGCTCCCAGGTAGAGGTAGGACAGCTGCACCGCATGGATTTCAGACTGCGTGGCAACAGAGGAGGACTCGTGGCTGCGGGATCCGTGCTCGTGGCCTTTCTTCCTGTTCCCCTCGGCGGGAGTGTGAGGAGCCGCGGTGAAGAGGGTCTCGTTCCCGCCAGCCACAGAGGAGATCTCGCTCTCCGACTTTGAGTTGGGCGCCGCGTGTGCTTTCACCTCGTCCAGGCTGTGGGACACTCGGAGGTCAGAGGTCGTGGTGTTTGGAGCCGCTCCGCCGTTATCTTTTTGCTCGTTGCGGTTGTGCTCCTCGCTCTCCGCCTTGTCCTCGTTCCCGGCTGGCTCCTGCCCGGACGAGGCCGCGCCGCGGTGCTTCTTGTCGTGGCGTCGCGAGCTGAGCTTGGCGGCGGTCTCCTCGTGGATGCTGGTGAGGTAGGTGAGGTCCAACAGCAGCGAGGCGGTGAGGCCACGGAAACGCGCCACGTCGAAGGGCAGCGGCTCGCAGGGCTCCAGGTTGTAAAGCGGAGTGTCACTAGGCGACCAGAAAGTTGGGAAGCTTTAATAGAAGGGAGTGGAGAGTGAAAGGAGACAAGGGAAGGAAACACAAAGTGAGGGAAAGGGCAGGAGAGAAAGAGCACAGCATGCAAGACAAATAAAGAAATGGAGTGTGTGGGTATGGCACAAAATCATGCCGCTCGGAGAATCATCGTGCAGAAGAGTTGTGGATTAATGATGAGTCAATAACAAACATGAAAACAGTGAATTAGAGCGAGGGGGAAATGGAGGGTGAAAAATAAACCGATGAAGAGGCTAATGCAGGGTGTCAGAGGGATGTGAATACAGGCAGTGAAGAAAGTTCCAGAATACATTCTCATCAGCCATGAGGTCAAACTGCCGACGACCATAAGTCACACGAGCACTGGAGACGCACCGATCAGTTTCACATACAGACCATTCTGTGCTGGTTTGAATTTACACGCATTTCAAACCCTCTTATCGACTTTATTTCTAAAAAAAAAAAAAAAACTGGCGACATATTTAGCGACTTATTCAGACCATCAGGTAAACACAAGAAATATATTCACATATATCATATTGATATATATTCCACGCAGGGAGTTAATAAAACATAATATACACATTTTACATTCTTGTAAATAGATTCATTCATAGTTTTGTATAAACAGATAAATAAATACATCATTTTAGACGGATAATAAATTGTTGACTCTAAAACAGACCTACATACATCAGTATAGAATAGAATGTTTTCTATGATATGAAAATTTACAAATCATGGATGTTCATAATTTATGAACATCCAATTAAATTTTTCATTTAAAGAAAAGTTGAGAGGAAAGTTTGTCTAAACTATAAATGACCTCTGAATCAGCAGGTCAGACTATTCAAAACGATTTAAGGAATCAGGATCAGCCAATAAGAAGACTTGCTGTCGGTGCGTCTCCAATAAACAACCAGAACATCGTGCAGAGCGCTGCTGTTGGACCAACAATCATGTGATGGATTTCCCCTCGTTAAAAGCAAAAGCTGCTGACTCAGCACATATTGTTTGAGTGTGCAGTGACAGTCAAAATCTTTACATGGCCGATGTTGTTGAAATAAATTCACAACTTGCTTACAATTTGGTATATCTGTAAAATATACCAGCAAATAACAAATATAGCAACGTATAAAAATGTCAAAGAAAGGTGCCACCCCGTACCTGATGGTGATCTCGGCCTCGTCCCACTGCACCTTCGCCGAGGTGCTGCCTTCCTTCACCACGCCCAGCAGTGTGGCGTGCCTTCCGGTCTGCTTGTGCACACATCTCCCGCCGACACGAAGGCCCGCGTCCGCCCCTCCGATCACCGCTAGGACCGGCCACACCTCCGTGCAGAGCGTCCTCAGGTGGTGCTCCGACAGCTCCCCCAGGCCGTGCTGCCGCCCGTGGCGTCCCCGCTCCTCCTCCGTCCTCGTGGGCGTCTCCTGGCTTTCCCTCTGGGCGTCGTGCTCCTCGCGGCTCTGCACCGAGCGACTCTTCTTCAGCCTCTGACCCCCGCCACCGGACGTGCCGGCGGACTCCCTAAAGCAAGGCTTGATCCTGTGGAGCCGCTCGGTCATGGTCTCGTTGATGCGGTGGGTCCAGTGGTCGGTGCGATGCAGGATGCGGATCAGCTGCGTGGTGGCCTCGGCCAGGACGGTGGCCATGGGGCTGCAGACCGGGTCGCCAGGTAAGAGGTCTCGAGGTGTGCCCCTCATCTGCATGTCACAGATCTTAACCTGGAACAAATAAGCAGAATATATATACACATACATATACACATATATATACACATACACTTATATACATACATACACATATATACATACATACATACATATACACATATATATACACATACACATATATACATACATACACATATATACATACATACATACATACATATACACATATATATACACATATATATACACATACATATATATATACACATACACATATATACATACATACATACATACATACATACATACATATACACGTATACACACATGTATATATACAGTTGTGTGAAAAAGTGTTTGCCCCCTTCCTGATTTCTTATTTTTTTGCATGTTTGTCACACTTCAATGTTTCAGATCATCAAACAAATTTAAATATTAGAAAAAGATAACACAAGTAAACACAAAATGCAGTTTTTAAATGAAGGTTT